TAATAACCTTTAACTTGCACACAGCCTATATACCCTGGATTTTGGTATATTTCAGTCACAAGAAAAATATAATTAGTTCATACAGATGAACTTATCCACGTTGAACTTCGGCAGTGCTAACTATAGTATCGTAGTGGTTAGCACAAGCAGGTTCTGGGTTCAAGTTCCAGCTGGCTAGGACCTCTCTGCTTGGACTTTGCGCGTTCTCCCTGTGTTCCTGTGGTTGTTGTCCGGGTATTCCCCAGTCCGGAAAGACATGCTCTTTAGGACCACTCCTACCACTGACTCTGACCAAGGCTCTGGTCTTAGCAGCTGACCCCCATGCATTGCCCTGCAGCTGCCCACTGCTCTTAAGTAAAAAGGATGAGTAAAATGCAGTAGACAAATTACCCCATCAGGTTCAATAAAGTACATCTCATTTCACAGCATTTTTAAAATGGTGTCATTAAATATAGTATTATCTCATTGGCTACACCATGTATTGTGTCAAGTTTAATATTTGGGTTTTTCATACCAATGAAGCGCAACACAAGCAATCAATTAAATATATTACCTCTCGGGCAGGTAGTTAATACCGTTAACTAGCATGAATAAACCACAAAAAACTCTAGGATAAACAAAAATAGTGCCAAGGGCACTGTAGCTCACCTGAATTGTTTATACTTGTACAGGCAGTTAAATAATGCCATGAACACATTTCGGTGTCCCCAGGGTAGGGAACATATGTGCCAAGTTTCAGCTTTATAGGTCCAGTGGCATCAGATAAGACGATGTCTAAAGTAAACATCCTCGAATGTGGCCACAGCCAAAGCGTCGAGGTCGAATCAAGGTCTGATTTCAAAATTTCACAAAACCCGTCAAAAGAGTTTTAGGGCTTGTTTCCATCTACCCATATACCAAATATCAGCTTAATTGCTCAAAAACTGCTTTACAAAGGCTCCATATGGCATTTTCAATATGGCCGCCATGAAATCGGATTGGAACCCCACCAAACTTTGATGTCCTCATGGCTAGGAACATGTGTACCAAGTTTCAGCTTTATCGGACCTGTGATTTCCAAGAAGATGTTTACGGATGACACCGATGCCGACGACGGCGATGACGACAACAACGACGACGGACAGACGACCCGTCAGATAAGCCCACTGAACCTTCAGTCCAGGTGTGCTGAAAATGAACGTGCAAAGGTGCAAAGCGTAGATTTGTACAGCACACCACACATTAATATGATACAATTAACAGACATTCAATTTACAAGATGATGGAACTGGATTTTCACAACTGGGTTCAGCATTCTACAAGAAATGGGCACAGTTTTATAACACCAAAAGTACTCTTTAGCCAAAAGATAAAGACAAATCATAAATTTGACCCCTAAAATGGGTCTAACATATACAAAGCAAAGACCTCTCCATCCATCCATCCATCCATCCATCCACTGTCTTCCGCTTATCCCGGGCCGGGTCACGGGGGTAACAGACTAAGCAGAGAGGCCCAGGCGCCCCCCTCCCCAGCCACCTCCTCCAGCTCTACCTGGGGGACCCCAAGCTGTTCCCAGGCCAGCCGGGAGATATAATCCCTCCAGTGTGTCCTGGGTCTGCCCGGGGGCCTCCTTCCAGTTGGACATGCCTGGAAAACCTCTAAAGGGAGGCGTCCAGGAGGCATCCGGACTAAATGCCCAAACCACCTCAACTGACTCCTCTCGACATGGATGAGCAGCGATTCTACTCTGAGCCTCTCCCGGATGTCCGAGCTCCTCACCCTATCTCCAACGGTCAGCCCAACCACCCAGCAGAGAAAGCTCATTTCGGCCGCTGGTATTTGCAATCTTATTCTTTCGGGCACTACCCAAAGCTCGTGACCATAGGTAAAGGTTGGAACGTAGATCGACCAGTAAATCGAGAGCTTCGCTTTTATGCTCAGCTTCTCCTTCACCGCAACGGACCGGGACAATGCCCGCTTCACTGCAGACACTGCAGCGATCCGTCGGTCAATCTCAAGCTCAATCAGCCCCTCACTCATGAACAAGACCCCGAGATGCTTGAACTCCTCCACTTGGGGTAACAACTGACCCCCCACTTGAAGGGCAGGCCCGACGCTAGAACAGGGAATTGGGGGGGCACAGACACGTCCCTTTATTAGTCCTGGCTAGTTCTCAATCATTTTCCTTTATTGACGCGTTTTCCAATTATCGTAATTGGCAACTGAAGACACGGTTTCTCTCCATATGCGATCGAACAGCGAGTAAAATCATGGGCTAAATTCAGTACAAAAAAAAATTTACTTATTAATAGGCCAATGCTTTGCGTTGATTGTACTGGTCCGCATTCCAATGAAATATCGCCTTTCACTCTCGGTATTGCGTGGGTTGATAAAAAAAAAAATGGCACTCGGCAATTAAAAAGGCTATAAAAAAGCATGCAGCTCAAGCAATTTGAATAACATTGATTTATATACAGCAAATACGCGTCCAGATGAATGATTGCCATCTTACCTAATCGGGGAGAACAATGTTAAGAATAAACCTTTTGTTAATCATGAAAATTTAGGACTATAACTGTTTTAAACGGTCGCTTTGTGCACCCAAATTATCAGTTCTGATGAATACTGAATTTACCCTATGATTTCATCCTGTTAGATCGGGAGAGAAACCGTGTCTTCAGATGCCTAGCAATAATTGTTAAAAGCGTCAATAAAGGAAAATGATTGAGAACTTTTGTTAGGACTAATAAATGACGTGTCTGTGCCCCCCCAACTCTGTTCTAGCGCCGGGCCTTTGAAGGGTACAATCCATTATAAGTTCTGGTTCCGCGCATCCATCCATTCATTATCTAAACTGATCATCCTCACTAGGATGTTAGAGATGGAGCCCATATGGAGGAGAAACCAGACAGATGCCTATTACAATACCAAAACGCAAACAAGGGGGAAAATGAAACTGAGAACTAGCCCAGGACTAGATCCAGAACCATGTCCCCCCCTTCCTTCAGCCTGTTCTAGTGCGCCATTTACTGTTGCAGCCCAATCCATCTTTTTCTTTTTCCTACCATCCATCCATTCAAAATCAAAATACTGCAAAAATCCGAATTCCTTCAGAGAGAGCACATTTGAACGAATCCCCAAAAAAGACCTGTAGATACAAAGCTCTTTCACATTGATTTAATGTGTCAATGTGATTCGTTTTAACAGGTTTCGTATCTCCAGGACGTGACGTGAGGCCGGTACAGTAAGCTCACCCTCTGAAGGCCATCTTCATTGACGTAAATTTTGCAAAAGAGCCTCTTCAAAACTTTGGTGACAATGAAGCTCATTAAGCGGATGAATCCCAGCTGCAGGTTTTGGGACATTTCCTCCAGGATTCCCGCGGCGTCCTCTCTGAGCATGGCCGTTGGCACTGCGCTTTCCGCTGACATCTGCAGAAACATATGAGACCTTTGGATCTGCGTGTCCTTCCAGAATACACAGACATGCATTCTAGGCCAGAGGTTCTCCAATCTTGCCCTCGTAGAGTTATTGAGTTACCGCTGCAGTCGGGTGCTTTAAAGATCTATTTAGTAAGATGCTGGTCTACTTTGAAAACTAGAACACTTACTAGCACACCAGTAGTATGGCTGAAGAAATCATACTTTGACATGCTCGCAAAGTTTACGTATTTAGATTATGCATACAGCGCATGCGCACTCAGACATGTGTTATATGTATAGATTATAGAATAAATAAGTTGTAAAATGGTGAAGTAGAAATTTAGCAATTTAAATAGATTCATAAAGAACAGTACATCAGTTTGAACAGAGTCACCAAGTACAGTGCTAGAATGAACTAGACAGTCTGGTCGCCCGCGACCATATGGGTGTAGTCTCCGAAAGCCTGCCTCTCCAGCCCGTACTGCGTCCACAAGGAAATCTCTATGTTTCAACACAAATTTGTGCATTATTTGGCCAATACTGTCACCGTGGCAACCAAAATCGATAGGTGTCATAACTGAAGTATGACACATGTCCATACCAAATATGAAAGTAATCGGTCAAAAATTACAGCTTGTACAGCGCCCACAAGGAAGCGTCTACGGACGCGGCGGCGGCAGAGACGACAAGCTTGAATCCATAGTAGCCGTCTGACTTCGTCCAAAGGCTGCAATAAATATGTGTTCCCATGTTCATGGTCTGGTGCATGACACCTTTGAGTCAAAAGGATATTACAGCACCATGCAATGAGATCGAGCTGAAAGTTCCTTACCTCCTGGATGACATATCTCAGGTACTGGGACTCCAGCACTGTTCTGTTGAGGGTGCTCGCTGAGCAGGCCTGCAGGCCCCTGTAAGGCTGAGGGCTGAACTTCCTCAGGGCATGACTCAGATCACTGGACTGTCTCCTTTCCTCAAGGACATCTCGAAAGTCCCATCTCCCCTCCTGCTCCCTTTGCTGGAACTAGAGACAGTCAGCAGCAGTCCCAATCCCACAATTTATTTTTTCATACCCTAAAGCTCTGGTCCAAAATATGCTTTGTCCCTTTCTAACTCACTAATCCTGTGAAACATGCATACCTGAGAAGGCTTATGAAGAACATATGCAGACATGCTGCCAAAGCACTTGTTGCAAGGGTTGTGCCATGGCAAATAAATCAGGATTAAGTGTAAATATGCAGAAAAATTTCCATCACACAAGTATAATTCCAAATTCCAACTTCAACAGCTCACAAACAGAAGACCAACATAATCCATCCATCCATCCATTCTCTATACCCGCTTATTCCTCACTAGGGTCACGGGGGGAGTTGGAGCTTATCCCAGCTGACTACAGGCGAAAGGCAGGGACCCATCCTGACAGCTCACCAATCCATTGCAGGGAGCACACCCCATTCACACACCATTTTCTCTCACACTCATACCTATGGGCAATTTAGCGTCTCCAATTAACCTGATATGCATGTCTTTGGACTGTGGGAGGAAACCAGAGTACCTGGAGGAAACCCACGCGAACACGGGGAGAACATGCTAACTCCACACAGACCGGATTCGGACCCACAACCTTCTTGCTGTGAGGCGGCAATGCTAACCACTGCGCCACTGTGCCGCCCACAAGACCAACATAATAAAACATGAAATTCTGAACCCTGACATAGACAGTCAAAAACAATTATTCTTTCATTACAAATGCGTTCTTGGAAACAAAAAATTACACTTATCTCAACAGAAATCCGTCGATGCATTTTGAGGGGACTCGCCTAAACCCTAAGTAGTTTCTAAACTACTAAAGGTAATTGACCAATTCATTAGCAAATTGACGTGAAAATGATCAGTTGTTTACAAACATAGGCAAACATTCTGGATTAAATTAGTAAAGCTTTATCTGTCCTGACAGTTAAGGGTTATGATAAGTCACTTACATAATGGTGTGATAGTTGTATGACTCTCTGATATGAACAATGTCACTATATTTACGTTGAAATGAAAAAAAGAAGTGCTTTACATGGTCTTTCAAGCTATTACAATAAACGGTGCGCACCTGTACTGCAGCCTTATGAAGAGCTCCTTCGTTTAGCACAAAGTTGATAAAGGTGTTTGCCTAAACCCAGTTTTTATTTATTTCATTCCAAGAAGAGGGGTAAGTGTTTACAGCAGATATTCACATCGCTATTTGTACTGATGTAGCCAAACCTCACCACAACATTTATATAATGGGGGTGAGTAACTCGAGATGGATTAAACAGGGCTTTCCATCTAGTAACTTTGTAGACGTTGCCTTACATCTCGGAAGCATGAGAAAGTTGTCATTTTTCATTGGTTGACAGGTGGAAATAAAACAACCTTTTCAGACATGGCAAGGTTGCGTGTGTCCACATATGAAAATATATCTCTGTGTAATTATTTGACGTTTCTTCCGCGAGCCTCGTTGGCGACCAACAGATTTGACACACTGACAGGCTTTCAGTTATACGCTATGTACTACCTAACTTAGCTCACTGCGCTGCTTCAGGCTATAGAGCCGATTAAAGTATGATGAACTTTGGCTTGTGTGTTTAAGTTTAAATGTTTTCTATCATAATAGGCTTAATAATTCCGACAACAAAACGACAAAAGTCCAAAAGCTATTTAATACTTTTAAAGTCGCCTAGTTGATTTTTTTCAAACCAACTAAGTCTACGGCTCATAAAGTAGAACAAAGTAGGGAAAGACTTCCCTAAGTCGCCTACGACTGAAAGCGAGCGAGACCGATTAGACCACAGGCTGAAGTTCGATTCTAAAATGCATCCCGCGCAAAATCCTGAACCGACTAAAACACAAAAACAGACTAATGTAGCTCCAGTTCTTTCGATTACAGTAACAACAATGCATAATTACCGTACTCTCCATCGGAGGCCTATTAAGGAAATCGCAGGAAGTGTTTGAAATATATCTCCATTAAACGTAGGCAAGCGTTCATCAGCAACGGCAGCACTTTGACCACACGCAGCAGTGTTCATAAACAAGACCGTTGACTTACGCTCCTCCCGCAAAATGAAACGAAAGCAGTGAGCACTATTTCAGAATCATTGCATGGAAAGACCGTGCAAAATCTGCAATAAATGATAATCTGCGAGGTCCACGGATTTTGTTCAAATTGCTACCATAGACTGGTCCTGGGCTAGAATGAAGGCAGGTAAAACCGTTCGGTGAATAATCACTCCGGAGTAAGGGGAAATTAACCTTTCAATGTATTTTCCTTAGCAAACTTTAATGAAATTGACGAACTTTGCCAATTTTTGGCACGGTACTTGGCAGTAAAGACAGGCTTTGCTTATAAGTAAACTGCAGCAGACATCCTAGTCTTTCCAAAAAATTTCCCACTAACTTTGTGATTGTGTTTCTATTCCTCTATTATGAAAATAATAAAACAGAGAAGCATAAAGAAAGTGGCACCACTCCTGCTAACAGATAAAATATCATTGGTAGTTGTTGCTTGTTTAGTGTACAGGTTTGTAGTTCCACACACAGCACTGCAAAATGATGAAATATTCTCCTCATTTCTGGTGCAAAGTACTGAGTAGAGCGGCAAGTTTTTTTTTTTTTTTCTAATTATGAAAGAGAAAGTCTTTAGCCACCATTTCTACCATGGTTTGTAGTTTCCACCCCTGTGGCAGATGACTTATAAGCTGTTGAATAGGCCTATACACAATTCCAAATTTTGGGGAAGGGGAAATATCTTGACACGTAACTGGCATATTTGGAAATATTTTTTGATAATTCTCGGAAATTTGGTCGGCCATCCTATGCGCAACATTCAAACAAAGGGGCAATGTTGAAAGATTAGCTGTTTTCTGTGGAGGATAACCCAAATTAACCCCTTGAAAATCCTTTAAAATGGTCCAGAATCCATTAAAATGTATTTTTTGGTGATTACTCCTACAAAACCAAATAAATGATGCACATATTGCAGGTTCATTTATAACTTGGTACTCTGAAAAAATTGAGACTTTGGGTCAAAGAAAAAAAAATGCGTCAACATGTTACAGCTGATTTTTTATTTTTATTTTTTTCTCAATTGAAAAAAAATTTACAAAGGTAATTTTTTTTTCAATTGAGAAAAACTAAAAAAATTAGCTGTAACAAGTTGACGCAATTTCTTTACTTTGATCCAAAGTCTCAATTTTTTCAGTGTACTATCTTGGATAGGTCAAATGCAGAGGACAAAATACCCCACGGGGGTTAAACAAGCATATCTAATTTGATCGTATATCTAATGGCTTTTTGCCTTTCATCTATGAGAGGTTCAGCGACATCAATTCAATGTGAAATAAATTTTCCTTACAGGTTCAGTATTCTTTTTTTAGACAGCGTAAGTAACCTGTTTTACTTTCATTCGCTCATCTGGTCCTCCTTTCAGCGTCACTGGGGCATTCGGATTTGTGATCCTGCGCTTGGATTTGCGGACCGTTAACAACCCTTCAACGACAGTTCGAGGAGGGAGCGGGCATTAGGATGATAGATGCGGGATCAGAGTGAGACTGTGGGCAAGTTACTGTTTGGGACAAGCCTGCAGATGTTACTGACAGCTTACAGGACATTAAGAAGTGAAAAGGGTTCTGTTCTTTACTTGCTCCATCGCTTCAAGCTCCAGATGTCTGCATTTTCGAGAGAAATCAAGCCTAAAGCGACTGGAAAGATCAAACGGAGCGGTGCGGACAGAGGAGGATTACGTCTAGAAGGCGTCCAGGTTGGAGCATATGCTACTGTAGCTACTAAATCAATTCTTCGGAAAGCACCGCGGACACAGCGAAGCATTTGAATCTTTCATCTTTAACAGGACGCAAATGACTCAATACATTTCTGTGGTAAACTTCAGTGTTTCTGTAGTGTGTGCAAGATGCGGAATATCACCAGCGTATCAAGACGTGAATGATGCTCAATTCTATGGCCATTATCCAGTCGAATATTAGTTTCTTATGTTAGCCTATCACATGTCAAGCTCGGACTGGAAAAACTTTGCAGAAAGTGACGCCACGATTAGTGGTAATCAAAAACAACCTATTCAGAATTGTGTCATTGGACAGTTACGACAGACTTGAAGAGGTTTTGCCGAATAACTTTTGCCGTTGAGACATGTTAAGAGACAGAGGAATAGCTTTGATGTTATGGATTGTCTTCATAACTCCGTTGTTGGGACTTATCAAAGGGTTCCCTGTAAAACAACACATGAACAGCACACCGCACCTGAGGAACAGACCACTTTTGGAGGTAAGCGGAATATTTAACGGTCTTTTCCCATTTTCCATGTACCATCTTTGATAGTATTGATTTTAATGGCTTGATTGCGTGTTTTCAGTAGGCTATTCCGACAGTTTACAGGTGGCATTTTTTGATGTCAGAACTTATCAGAGCAGTTAGAATGCACCAGGTGCCATACTCCTTGCCTATCCATCGGGCGCTGGTTTATTGTGGCTCCAGATAGATTTAGAAGCTCCCTCAAATTCACGTGTCGGCATGTTTGCGGATTAACAAGCGACGCTTAGTGACTTGTGGAACTAAAAATACGTCCGCCAATCCCCAGGCTACATTTTTCAAAAAGCAAACGTTAATAACCTCCTCAGAATTTTCTCTGCAAAAACAGAAATGTTAGTTTCACCTGAATGTTAAGTCAACTGAATGCACACAAGTGAGTTGAGGGCTTCCGATTAATTTGTTTGCTTAAATTGTTCCAAAATCTTGGAAATTAATTTGAAACTACGCAAAAAATTATGTGCAACGTGTTGCTATTTTTAAGTAGGCTACTTCCAACCTTGCATTTTTTTAGTGCTGATGAAAGTTACTTCTGTCATAGTCGATAACTTATCAGTCAGTTAACATATAGCTTTGAAGAACGTGTTATCTTCACGAACACGAAACTTATCCCAGAAGGCATAGTGGAAAATATACATTTACCAACCACTTTATTAGGTACTCCCGCGTCTTTATGCAAAAGTCTGTTCCTTTTAAACGCGACTCTTGTGGTTGCAGCTGTGCATACAGATGTGGAGAACTAGATTCAGCTTTTTGAAAGAATGAACATTTGAATGTCCCAGATGCTGGGTATGAGAGACTTTGATTATTGTTTGATTATTTGTGCTATTTGTGGTGCTTCGAGCATCAGAGAAACTGCTGGCCTCCTGGAATTTTCATGCTTTATCTAACAGTCTCAATGAATAACTGAGAATATCAATAAAGTAATAAACTGATAAAATAGTTACTTTGCTCTGACCAATTTAATAGTCATAGAATTATTATCAGTGGACAAGATGTAAAGCATTTGGATAAGAATAATCAACCAAAACATGGAATGTGACTCAGCGCTACCGTTCTCTCTCTCAGTGAAAAATCCAATCCGTGAGTTTAATGAAATTATGAACGGTTGTTCGGCGTTTCACAATAACGGATCTCATTTCCTGTTGTTTGTCTCTCGGGAGAAAAGTAATGTGATGTGATGGCGGAAGAGAAAAATCTGTTTCTAAATATGGCAGATTTTTAGGAGCTGATGACTATTAGAAATATAATTTTGCTGCTCCTCATTGCTCAGTTAGGAATACCAGCACTGGGGTAGTCAGTTGCTTGGTTGCCATGGCGCTTGACTGTATGGTGAAGGATGGTGGTTCGAGCAAGGTCTTTAACCCCATTTTTCATCGGGAGTTCTTTGGCTAGCTGTGTTGCTGGCGGTGTAGTATGTAGTGTTGTCTTATGGAAAATCCTGGAGTCTATGGTCTTTGCCCAGAGGTCTGAGGGGAGTATTAAGGTAGCTTTTGTCTGGATAGTGTGCACATACACTGTGCTAAACAGCACATATGGAAAATCCAGAAATAGGAAGTATAATTGAATCCTTGAGTTTCCAAAGGGCCCAACTCCAAGGCGCGCTCTTTTTCAAGAGAGGGAAAAATTGATTTATTTTTCGCCATAATGTTATGAGCCATATATTTTTAGTTTATTTCTGTGCAAGAGAGTGTCACTGGGATACTTTTGGCTGAAATGACAAGAAAGTTCCCCTTTTTGTTATAAGATATGCAGATCTCTAATTCATTGGAAACTCAATGATTCAGTTCTGTCCCCGTAATTGGTACAAATCACCTAGATTTTTTTAATGAGGCTGTTTGTTCAGCGATGATGTACGAGTCAGGGAGATCAGCTGGCAGAGTTCATGCACGGAAGAAAAAAAAATCAACATGACTTTCTGGCTCTCAAATTTTCTAACTGTGAACATCAAATAGGGCTGAATTATTTCATCGAAGGGAAGTGGTATCTGGCTGTAGATGAAGTGCTGTGGGATGGTTTGGATGACCAGGACTTAAAGAACTTTGGAACTTGGCATAATGTTTGCTGCGTATCAATTGGGGGTCAGATTTAAAAGTGGCTGCTTGTCAATGTGTGCATTGTACGTTTGATTCCCATTCCTTGTGCAGATTGCTGGTTCAACTCCTCAAGGACCAGTTTGAAAGATTTGGGGGGGATCCAGCGGCAGAGACTGAATATAATGTTCATAAGTATGTTTCCAGTTGTGTATTATCACCTGGAAAATAAGAATCACTGCTTTTTCCTTATCTTAGAATGAGCTTTTTTATACAAAAGGAAGGAGTGGGTCCACTTCCACGGAGCCTGCCTTGTTTTTACCATAGCCTGGCGGAAAAAAAAGAGGCAAAGTCTGTCCCAAGCCAATGTGGCTGGAGCTTAACTCTGGTTTCTGTGGCATGAATTGATTAGGAGTATTGCTACTCCCCTCGGATGGGATGCTAGTCCATCACAGGTACACCCCCAGCTCTTAGTCGGGTTTCCCTGATGATTTGCCGGTACCCAATTATACATCTGGGTGGAGTGAGGCATCGTGGATGTAAAGCGTTTTTGCTCAAGAACACGCCGCAAAAGCCATGGCAAGGACTTGAAATTGAAGACCGTTTGATCCCAAGTCAAGCACACTTAACCACTATGCCACCGCGTCCCTCACTGTAGACTGGAGTGGAGAGATAAACACAGGCTCCGGAGAGGGCCTTTCACATTTTTCACAAGTTTCATGGTCATCTTATGCTTTCTGACACACTTGGTAGGAGAGTGGATATCAAGTGGTTGCAATCTGCAACCTCGCTGCTAGATGATCCCATGCACTATTCCTTTAACCCCTTAAACTCTAACGTTTCACACAAGTTTTCCTTTTAGTAGGTTAGAAAAAGCATTTTTTGATATTATAGGTCAGTGCCACGTATACATTCTTTATCTGCTGGTTGTACCACTTCAATGAAATCACATCACAATTACACTGAGAGAAATATTTAAACTCAGGACGTCATGTTTCTATGGCCACAGCATTACATCAAATGGAAAATATCTAGATCTTGTACATTTTATACATATTTTCCTGCAATTCAGCATGACATATTTGGGATTGTTGGAAACTTCAGGATCTCCACTAGAATTTGAAATGGGCCCGAAGTTCCACAAGTTTTAATACAGCGGCTGCATTTGACGAACCATACAGGTCCATCTCAATGAATTAGAATATCATCAAAAAGTTGATTTATTTCAGTAATTTGATTGAAAACATGAAACTCATATAGATTCATCACACACAGACTGATATATTTCAAAGTGTTTATTTCTTTTCATTTTGATGATTACAACTGACAGCTAATGAAAACCCAACATTCAGTATCTCAGAAAATTAGAATATAACTTAAGACCAATAAAAAAAAGGATTTTTAGCACTGAAATATTGGACTACTGAAAAGTATGAACATGTATAGTGCACAATACTTGGTTGGGGCTCCTTTTGCGTGAATTACTGCAGCAATGCGGTGTGGCATGGAGGCGATCAGCCTGTGGCACTGATGAGGTGTCATGGAAGCCCAGGTTGCTCTGATAGCAGCCTTCAGCTCTTCTGCGTTGTTGGGTCTGATGTCTCGCATCTTCCTCTTCACAATACCCCATAGATTCTCTATGGGGTTTAGGTCAGGCGAGTTTGCTGGCCAATCAAGCACAGGGATACCATGGTCCTTAAAGCAGGTATTGGTACCCTTGGCAGTGTGGGCAGGTGCCATGTCCTTCTGGAAAATGAAATCAGCATCTCCATTAAGCTGGTCAGCAGAGGGAAGCATGAAGTGCTCTAAAACTTCCTGGTAGATGGCTACGCTGACCTTGGACCTGAGAAAACACAGTGGACCAACACCAGCAGTTGACATGGCTCCCCAAAGCACTACTGACTGTGGAAACTTTACACTGGACCTCAAGCAACTTGGATTCTGTGCCTCTCCTCTCTTCTTCCAGACTCTGGGTCCTTGATTTCCAAATGAAATGCCAAATTTACTTTCATCTGAGAAGAGGGCTTTGGACTACTGAGCAGCAGTCCAGTCCTTATTGTCCTTAGCCCATGTAAGACGCCTCTGACATTGTCTCTGGTTCAAGAGAGGCTTGACACAAGGAATGCGACAGTTTAAGCCCATGTCCTGGATACGTCTGTGCGTGGTGGCTCTTGAAGCGCTGACTCCAGCTGCAGTCCGCTCCTTGTGAATCTCCCCCAAATTCTTGAATGGGCTTCCTTTCACAATCCTCTCAAGGCTGCTGTTATCCCTGTTGCTTATGCACCTTTTTCTACCTCATTTTTTCCTTCCATTCAACTCTGCACAATGTGCTTGGATACAGCACTCTGTGAACAGCCAGCTTCTTTAGCAATGACCTTCCCTGTCTTACCCTCCTTGTGCAGGGTGTCAATGATCGTCTTCTGGACAAGTGTCAAGTGAGCAGTCTTCCCTATGATTGTGTCGTCTACTGAACCAGACTGAGAGACCATTTAAAGGCTCGGGTGTGACATCATGAGTCTTCATTATTGAACTTCTTCACAATATTCTAATTTTCTGAGATACTGAATTTTGGGTTTTCATTAGCTGTCAGTTGTAATCTTCAAAATTAAAAGAAATAAACACTTGAAATATATCAGTCTGTGTGTAATGAATCTATATGATATATGAGTTTCGCTTTTTCAGTCGGATTACTGAAATAAATCAACTTTTTGATGATATTCTAATTTATTGAGATGCACCTGGATATGGGTTTGTCGGTTGTTTTTTTTGGGTGAAGTTACAAATGTGTTAAATTTCTGCAAAAACTGAAAGTCAGGTCCGTGCATGAAAAACATTGTTCAACTACTGTCACATCCCTGGAGCTCCCTGCCTAAATAGCGTTTTGCGCACTCGGCAAACAGGATATATGTTCAGCCAGCCAGCCTTGTTTGGTACGTTGTATTAAAACATTTCATTGCCAGAAAAGGATGGAAAAGTGGTGCATCGTGGTAGATAGTGACTGTGCTCAATTATTGGAGCCGCAAGATGCAGGATAAAGCAGCTTTAGTTGGTCTGTGCAGCTGCACGTCAATGAAATGAGCTGCTTACATAACCAGGATTACTCTGTTCTCCGCATAACACTGAGGCAGACAACATAAATGTGCAGTAAAGGACTGGCCACAGCAACTGCAAAGATTTCACAGTTTACAACCTTATTTTATGTTGCATTAGACATTACTGAAGCTGCTTTCACACCGGACGCGAAACGAATTTTTCGCACGACAAATTACATTCAAAGTCAATACAAAGACGCGAATACATGCGAAACGCGTGTATTCGCGTCTTTGCATTGACTTTTGAATGTAATCTGCCGTGTGAAAAATTCGTTTCGCGTCTTGTGTGAAAGCGGCTTTACTGCTGGTTATGCTTATCTGGGGCCAGACCCCCGTGAAGAAATGCCAGGTTAGGGCCTTGGTCAAAGGGCCCAAGAGCTGCACTAATCTTTGTGGGACACAGTAGGACTTGAACTTAGGTATGAACTAAACAGACTCTCTTTAGTCCCGATACTGATACTGATACCGATACCTGGGCTTTGGGTACTGGCTGACACCAAGCACTGATCCGATACCAGTATTTAATTGATAAGGAGTACGCTTCACTGTGTGGAAGAGACTGGGATCATTCTTTTATGCGTAAGGCAGCATTAGGCTTGAAATGAGCTTTACTTTCCTTACTTTGTAAAAACAAAATGTAACAAATACATAGATATGAATGTACTGAATTGTCATGTATTAAAATAATGGTATACCATACCAGATCAGCCCATTGTTACCGATACCTGATCCAGCTATTTGAGTTGGTATAGGACCGATATCCGATATCTTTATCGGTATGGATGCATTGCTACTTGAACCATCAACCATTCTGGTCCTGGTAAAGCACGTTTGCCACTAGGCCATACGATACCAAAATATATTGTCAGAAGTGCAGTTTGAACCGTTTGAACCCACACCTCAAACTGAAAACCAGAACACTCCTGAACAGGGAAAGATTATATCTCCTTGACTCTGGTGCCTTTGTCCGCTCGGCCATTCTGACTACGTCTTTATTAAAGCTTTACCTTTCATCCACCGAATTCAGGACCATTAACCTCATAATTTGTTCATGAATGTTGAAATTAACTGAATATCAAAATCAAATGTTGGCTTGATGTTTCTCAGCAGGCACAATCAAGGACCCCCTCCAGGCGTGTCCACCATGGGCTGGAGGTCTTTCAGGGGCACAACCAGGCACGTAGTGCGCCAAATGTCTTGCGCCGCCATAAGAGGCGATGGCGCCAGCAGCACTCTTTGGGAGTTCTGCCCAAGCCGGAGCCTGAAGAGGTGGCTCGCTCCTTCCTGCTGGACCGATATCCTGATGTCACGAGCTTCAAGCTCAATGCTCAAAGCCCCAATATCAAGGTAAGATGAAGAGTTTACAGTTTTCGCCCTTGTAGGATTGTGTATATTTTGTTTGTGTCTAGGTGATCAGATGATTCTCCACATAAGAGGGCATATAATCCGATCAGCCGCAACATTAAACCACCTCTTATTGTGTAGGTCTCCCTCTTGCTGCAAAATTGGCTTTGTCAATCTGAGGTGCACTTGAATTCCCAGACCCAAGGTTTCCCAGCAGAACATTTTCCAGAGAACCACACTTCCTCCACCAGCTTGTCTTCTTCCCATTGTGCATCCTGGTGCTAACTCTTCCCAGAGTATATGGTGCGCTCATACCCGTCCAATACACATGATGTAAAAGAAAACAGGACTTACTGGACCCGGTGACCTCCTTTAATGGCTCCAGTGTCCAGTTCTGATGCTCACGTGCCCACTGAAGGGACTTTTAGCGGTGGACCTGGGTTAGCATAGGCACTCTGACTGGTCCGCTGCTACAAATCACTATACATAGTAGGGTGTGATGCACTGTGTGTTGTGACATTCTTCATGTAAATATCATTAAAATTCTCTGCGACTTGTGCACGGCAGCCCCTCTGTCAGTTCGGACCAGACGGTATTGCCTTTGTTGGCCTTGTGCATAGAAAAGCCTTGGGAACCTGACACCCTGTTGCCAGATAAGGGTTTGTTACTTCTTGGACCACTGTTTGTAGGTTCTTAAACTGCTGGTTTGGGAGGACTCCAGAAGCCTTGCCATTTCAGAGATGCTCTGATCCAATAATCTGGCCATAACAATTTGGCCTTATAAAAGTCGCCCAGGTCCCATTTCTTCCACGCCATACACATTGACCATAAGGACCGACTGTTCACTTGCTGTCTGTCTGCTGACCTCGACGTATGTCCTTGTTACAAGATAAACAACATTCTTTGCTTCATTTGGCAGGGGGTTTAATATTTTGCTTCAACAGAGTACACTGTGAGTTCCATAATGCTTAGGACAAATGCATTTTTTTTTAATTTGCCTCAACTCGACAATTTTAGATTAGGGATCAAACGATGTGAATGTGGTTTTTAGCGGAGATTTTCATGAAAAGGAAATTTCACACCGGTTCTATATGATGAGAGAAAAATGCACAAAAATACAATTTCATAAAAGATTAGAATTGGGGCATCAGGCAGGCATCGACTGACAGTGGTCGGCACTGCTGCCTTGCTATATAGAGGTCCTGGGTTTG